TTGCTCATTTCTAGAGAGAGATGAAATCCAAAATTTTACTCTTCATGAAAGAAGAGTTATTCCCTGACCCCTCTGACTTATACCTTAACAAGAGAAAGCAAAGCCTTCTGGTAATCGCCAGATGTGTCTGAGGCGATGTCTTTAGCCAGGTCTCTCTTCAATTCTGAAAAAATAAGAAAAGTATATTTTGCAATAAATTAAATAATGGTGACAAGAATATGTGACATTTCTATAATGGCTTACAATTTCAAATGTTCGATGACTTATAGAGCGCATTTCAAAAAAATATGTATATATCTTTTTAATAAAAATAGAGATAGTGGAACACGTAAAATTTTGGAACAAATTGATTTCCTATAAGGCAATGAAAGCAATTTATATAATACTGTGAATGAGAACCTACAGTTATAGAGCTTTGGCTAATATGAATAAATTCCATAGGTATTAAATTAATTCTGTAATAAACATTCTAGAATTTAAGCAATGTGATGAATAGGACAGTTGTTTAAAAGAATAAACCAGAGGTACTTGCTTGAACAAAGATTATTTATTTAGTTTAAAGATTATAAGTATGCAAGTATGTAATGTAGTTTAATTATGTATATATGAATGTATATATAGATACAGACTTAAAATTTTTATTTGTGTAAACACCCTGACTTGCCTATGCAAAATAATGCTGTATTAGAAAAAAAATAACTGAATTTATAATTAACTAGAAGATGGGGCAATTTTATAAGCTATCATTGGACTATATCTTGGACATAATGGAGAAATATGGTTATTTATCTTTGTAAGCTATGTTTTATTGAACAAAAAAAACCCTAAAAATAATGCCCCTCTTGATTATTATCACTGGTAAACAGATCTAAGATGAATATTAATAATGAGATAAGCATTGCAGAAAATGGGTTAAAAACTTCCTTATTTTGATTCTTTTATTAAATTGCACTGAAAATAATATGCAAGGGCTGTTGTATTCTCTGTGCTTGGGATGAAAATCAAACATAAAGGTCTTTTATGGTGCCGCACATTGGCCTGGGAAACTAGAAAAGGAAAATAGTGAAAGACCCAGCACTGCCAAGAATCCAGTTGCAGCTACCTGCTGTACAGCGTTGAGCATATCATTTAAATGAGATGTTTCACTGAACAGATAAAATGAGCCACGGCTGGTCTTTTATCCCTATGAATCCAACTGAAGATAAAGAGTAAACATTTGTATTTATAATAATGTTAAAGTTTCCATTGCAGGGTTATAAGCACCTAGCTCTACTATTTCAAGGACAAATGGGGAATGTTTTCGTTGGAAGTTTTAATTTTTTTTTTGTTCTCTTTTCAAAATAAAAGACAACAGGATATTTTAATGAAATGAATCTCAGAATAATAGGAAATATTTTCAAAAATTATTTTAATTCAGTGCTTTGAATTGAATTTTCCATTACAATAATATGGGGCCATTTGTCTTAGAGGGACATTTTGGATTAAATCACAAACTTGATGAGGGCAGGGACACAGCCTCCCTTATCAGCACACTCGCAACTTGCATACTGTCCAGTAACAGCATGTGCTGTGCATCCAGGAAACATGTGCCAAACAATAAAGAAATATTTTAGTATGTAGAGTTTCCCAAACCCCCATAATTAACCTCCACATTTAAGTTTCAGAAAAGTACATTATATTTCCTTTCCGACTAAGGTACTTGGACGGTTGGACATTAAAACTTACCTTCTCTGTAGACTCTGTTAATTTCTCTGATTTCTCTGTTAGTTCTTGATGCCAAAATTTCATTCAGAGTGTCTTCATCAGTTCCAAGGCCCTGAGTTAAAAGAAAAAAATGGAAATGTAGGACAGTCTTCATTAAAGAGCGTCAACAAGTTTTTGTGTCCTAAAATTTGTTTGAATCTGGCGTTTAGTAAATTTCCCAATATTTAATAATTACAATAAGCTCTATTATGTTGCTCCAAACACAAAATGGGTTTAAAGCCTATTTGGGGCAAAGATATAAAAAGTGAGATATATGACTCATACAGTGACATCATAAGGATGGTGGAAATAACATTCATTCATTCACTCATTCATTCATTTTATTCCCATTAATTGATAGGCCCTGTATTAGATGTTGAGGGCACAAGAAGAGGCCTAAGTGGACTTGACCTACACATTGTTAGCAGGAAAGGAGTTTTGCTTGAATCAGGTGATTTACCTTCATGGCCCCACGGAGTTCATCAGCATCTAATTGGGCTGGAGTTTTTAAGAGAGCCAAAACAACTTCCTCAAGGTGACCTGTAAGGGCTTTCTTCAGAGCTTCATCCAGGGGCTATAACAACGAGGTTAGAATCAGGGCTTCCAATAAGTAACATGCTAGGCCATACAGTAATGTAGGATTACCTGACATTTAGGTAATCTTGCTGATTCCTAAACCCAGCTAGTTTTAGAACTCCTTCCCTTCGCATACAAAAGATATTTAGAATGTTATCTTAATCTTTTTGTGTAATAAGAATGAAATTTTACTGAATTCACTGATAACTTCTTAAAGTTATCTCAATCTTTTATATGAGGAAGAAACCACAAAGCTCAAAACATAGGGTTATGTATTAACAGAAACAGTAGTAAGAATATCTGAAAAAATACATAATGTATTAATAATTTTTCCAAACTCTGAGGTTTGCACTTCTCAAATAAACACTATAATCAGATGTTGACATTATACAGTTTTCTAATTGCATTCCTTAAAAAATACTACCCATATTGGGTATAAAAAGTATAAAGCTTACTTTTAAAGTGGTGTGGACAAATAAGGGCCACTTTCTAAGCCTGACAAGCTCAGAAGATACCTGCATGGTGAGCCCTACAAACTCAGAGACCAAAATAACCACACAGGAAGGTTTTGAACATAAAAATTCCTAAGTAAAAGCAGGTCATGGCGGTAGTCACGTCCTAGGCCTGTAGCTTCCTTGACAAAGGTCAATCTTTACCTTAAGGGAGCCTGCCCAGGTATCTTTGTGCACCTAAAATAACTTATCTTTGAAATGTCAGAGTAATCTCCTTTTTCAGACCCCTAAGGGCACACCCACTGCACCAGAGCTTGAGACCACAGAAGACCTCATTGCTTTTTTGTTCCCCGAACACCATCTCTATGTGCTGTAAATATTAATTAACTATCCTGTACTCACCAGTGTAAAAAAGGATGTGTCTCTCCATTTTACTCTTTTTATCCAATCCCAGAGATTTCCTCACTTTGCTTTCTCCGTCCCTCTCCCCACACCCACCCCTTAACCTACCGATGGATTTCAATAACCCTCCTTACGTCTTCTCCTTTGATTCTAATGTAGAAAATAAGCTGCAAAACTGCCATTCTCAGGAGTCTTTTCTCAATCTGTTGAGATTTCGCTTCCTGGCAATTGTCAGTTTGGCTCCAAGAAACTTATAAAAAATCTTTACAGGCTTGGAGGTTTCTTACGTCAACAGTGGAATTATATGTATAAACTTTACATTTTGACATTAAACAGCTCAGTTTAAAATTTAGCAGAAGACACATTTCAATCAGAACATATTCCTTATTGCCAACAGTAATCTTGATGTTTGTTATGCTCAAATTAAAGACTTGTCTCCAACGTGGAACACCACACCTGCATAGAATTTACACCAAGATGGCCAATGGATGAAACCAGGAAATTTGCAGAATTGATTTGATTACAATCAAGTGGATAAACACTGCAATGCAAGTCTTAGTTGTAATGGGAAAACAGTGTTAGAGACTAAAAGAAATAGGTAACCATGCTTCAAAACCCATGTTTAATACAAATGTAACAGAAATCAAATATCTAAATTTACCACTCCAACCCACCTTTCCTTTTTCCTGGAGATAAGCCGCTTTGATCTGTTGACGCTGTGCATTGTTTCTCTTAGTGAGAATGTCAATGATGGTTGCTTCATCCACACCTGGAAATAAAAGGCCGCTTAGCTTTTAAAATAAATTTTCTTCCTCATTAATAATTGACATTAAATGATTCATTTTCCAGATGCTCCAAATGAAGTTTTTAACCTACTAAGAAGTGTGAATTCTAAAAATGCGATACTAAATATCAAAGAAACATTTCAGATGACCTTCTATTCATTTGAATGAGAAAGGAAATGGGACACTGTCCCTGACCTTCGGTGTGGCAGTGTTTGATCTTAATTCAAACCCTAAATGTGAGCAGAGGAGTTGGTTTCAACATTGAGCTTCTGCTAGAAGTGAGCTGGTAAGGATATCTATTGTAGCAGAGATTCAACTGATTTAACCAAAATGTTTTAAGTGATAAGAAAGTAAATATATCTTTGTTTGGTAAAGAAATCTTTTTATCTTCAAAATGATACAGACTGTTTTCACTGCACATGCCTGTTTTCCAATAGCCATTCAAATGGCCATGATGGAGGAAATCTCCAGGAGGAGAATGTTTGGGGAAGGCACACTTACCTTTAACTGTTATTGCTTTATGCAAGGCAGCAACATCTGAGGATGGGTTGAAGCTGGGATAGGGGCTCACTGCTGACCCGGGGCCACCTTTGGAGCCTTTCACAGTTTTCTATGGATGAGAGAGAAGAAATTACTTATGTCCACTCACTCATATTCATTTCTCTTTTAATATTTAACTAAGTTATTTTACTGTCACTTGACTTACAATGTATTCCTGCTCTTCATTGTCAATAAACCAGGCCTGCTTGAGGAATTCTGATACCATTGCCATTTTTAAAGAAGTTTCTGGAAAGGAAACAAATAGATGCTTTTACAAACCACAAACCCACCACACATAGGCCCTGCTTCATTTCCTTTACATACACAAGACATACAGTAGCCTTGACCTTACTTTTCAGGATCACTCTTAGGAGCATAATAAAATACAAGACGTAAGTTTTTGTTTTGTTGGTTTTGTTCATTTGTTTGTTTTTTAAGGAGAGTCTTACCCTTGAACAGAAAACCATAGACTCCAATCAGAAACTTGGCTCCTTCTTGGCATAGTCAGTCCTATCTTTTAGGTACCAGATGACTACTCCAAGCAAGCATATAGGCTGAAAAGAGGAGCTGCTGATTTACTTCATCGTTCTAAGTTTACGGATCACTCACTATATGCTAAGCACTTAGGGCGCAAAAACATCGAAACATCATCCCTTGCCTCAATGAACTTAGAGTTACTGTGTGCGCTCTGTGGGAAAACACAAAAGCGAAGGAAGCTGCTTAGAGGCGGTGCTGGCTGATCTGAGCGTCTCTGGAAATGAGTTAAGATTAACCTGGCAAAAAAAGTTCAAGAGAACAAAACAGAGAGAAGCTTGTCATGTTTGGGAAGCTGAAAGAAGTTTACCGGAACAAGAAATATTGACAGAAGCTCCAACAAAGAAGTTTATCCCTAAAGCTTTGGGGAATCATTAATGGATTTTTAAAAAGAAAGCGGTATGATTCCATTTATATTTCAGAAAGATTACTCATCCTGTATCATACAGAATGACTAAGAGATGGACAAGATGGAAGATTAGAGACCATTTAATGGGCCATTAGAGAATCTATGTAGGATTCATGAGGGCCTGAACAAAAAGTAATGGCTACAGAAAGAGCATAACTTTTACATGTATACAGCAAAATCATCTATGACAATCTGCAGGAATGGATTTAGACTTAAAAATGTATCAATAAAAAGGTACTCAGGTGCTATTTCTTCCCCAAATAATGCAGTATCTTTTTCCATTCCTTGGTATAAAATTATTTCAGCACTTGGAAGGCTTCGATTTCTTCCTATTTGAGCTGTCTTAAATATTAGTCCTACATATTTTTTCCCCACCCAACACAAAGAACGCAGGAAAGAATTATTTTATACCAGGTTCTTTGCTCTAACAGGAAGCATTAGGGTGAAATCGCAACATGGATGCCCTTTTTTTGGTAAACTCTATTTTAAAGGCAATTTCTTGAGTTGCTATCATGGTTCAACAATGTTTTTATGTAATCGATCATATATATTTTTAAAACCCGAAGTATGTTAAAGACTAATGTGCTCTCTGTTTTGTTTTTATCCACAAAAGAAGCCACCGATGCTCCTTTCTGTCTGGGGATGTGTTTTTAGGAGCTCATGCTCAAGGTCTACATTGATATCCCTTCATACCCTCTTGTTTATCTCTCAAGACTATTCTCATGAATGCGTGTGAAAGAGATTGGAAGGATAATCTAGGCAGTTTTAAATTCTTGATACAAAGCTAAATGAGTCATGAGGAGTAAAGTCCATAATCTGATTACTTAACAGCATGTTCAGACAAAATATTTCAATCCATACCTGCTGAAAAATAACTGTAGTTCCAAGTAATGTGATTAAATACATAAGGGAAATTATATCCAAAGCAGAAACTATCTCCATTTAATTATCACGGGGATGATTCAAATTACCAGCCTATCAAAAAAAAAAAACCCAAATATATTGTGTATTTATTTACTCTCCTCCCCACCCCTGCCAGCAATTGACAAGTTTGAAGTTGTTTCTAAGGTAATTTGGCGCAAGGTTTTAGTTCCCATTACAGATATAATCTGGTGCAATTGCTGTTGGCATGTGGAGTTTCATTTTTCTATTGCTCAATTGGCACATCCAAAACATCTAGCAAGTTCTGGCAAGGTTTCAGGTATTTGAAAGTTTCATTTTTATCACCTCACCCATGCCCTTCATAAAGCAGAATCCTCAAAATGAGTGATATGGTCAGTCACTTAGCAAAATACTTTTCCCAAGTTGTAGAAATACATGTTCCAATATTTCCACTCTTTTCAATTAGAAAACAAGAACTTAAAAAGAAACCAGAGACAAGATATTGGCAAATATCATTTTTAAAATGTCACAGCTTCAAAATAAATTTTATTAAAACTTTTCTGTACTTTACTATTTTTTTTCACTTCTAAAAAATGCTTAAATAATGCATCACTTTCAAAATTGAGAAAGCCCAGGAAAATAATATCCCTATATTAATTACATAACACAAAATAAAATAAAAAAAAGGTTGAGTAATTTATTTGACACAACAGAGTCCATAGAGGAGACAGCTTTGTGACATATCCTGAGTTCCTAGATTTGTGTGAAGTAATTTGGATGGCCTGAAAGCATGGTCTAGACAAGAAAAGCAGCCTGAAGAGAACATATTTCAGGAAAGCAATTAGAAGAAAATGGAATCTCAATTCAGCCAAATTAGATCCACTGGCTCTTAGCAAAGCTTAAAGACACAAGAATTTTGGCAGGATGTCAGAAATGGCTCTAAAGGAATTTTAGGACTTGTCATGTACTGCTAGTTAAGTGCTCAGAGTCAACTGTATGTTTTAACAGAAACTCTTAGCAGTTACAACACACCTTGTAAATTCCACAGCAAAAATATTTTGGCTAAAAATTCTTGCCAAACCATTCTGTCTGTTCAATATCTACCCTCTGCAATGAAAACCAGCATTTTGTACTTGACAAAACCCATTTAATCATTTGAAGGTAACACTTGCTTAATGGTAAATAAATAATGCATGCAAAAGTGTGTTATAGACTGCCACACATTATACAAATGTCAGATATTATTACTATTCAGAGAATGGTCTGTACAAAATAGACTTGTACAATTAAAAAAAATAACTTAAATAACCCTATGAGCTCACAAAAGATTTTCTTTTTTCTTTCTTTTTAGTTGCAATGTTTAGAGCTTGTACTATGTATTTAAGAGATTATTTTATTAATTTACCTTGGCTCAATATGTATTTAATCTGACTACCAGTGAGCTCTGAAACCAAGTTTACCTCAGTTTTTAACATCATCTAATTTGAAGATGAAGTCGGCCATGTCTACACAGCTGATCTAATTGGAAATTAACAACATTCCAGAGTTCTTCTGGTTAACGGCCTGTATGTGAACATTCACTGCCTACTAATTTCATTTATCTGTGGATAAATGTGTAGCTTCCTAGAGATTAGCATTTTTTGTATATATTTATGTGTCATAAGAGAGCTCTCTTTGTTTCATTCAGTAAGGAATTAAAGAACGTAAATACGGATAATAAGTATGTCTAAAATGTTGGACAGAAAGGGATCCACGCTTACTAAATGTAAGAAAAAGGTGCACCAGAAGTGGTACCTTTTTCAGAAATGGCAACTGCACCTCTCAACTATTTGAGACCACTAGATTTATTGCATCACAGTTAAATTCCTGATTTTTTAAAAACTGTACTATGATGTGTCCTTACTTTTTAATTTCTATAGACAGAAGGGTTTAGAGGCATAGGGCCATCATATCTTCAGTGTTCTCAAATGTTACATTAAAAAATAACTATATAGAGAGGACAGAATGGGGGAAGGGAAGAATTAATAACAAAGCAAACATGGTGAAATGTTACCAGTTGGGGAATCTGAGTATAAAGGATGTGGTATTTCTTTGCAATATTCCTGCAACTTTTCTGAAGGTTTGAAATTATTATGAAAGAAAAGGTGATTTTATTTTTTTTAACTGCTATTTCTATCTGCCAGCCTCATAAAAGGCTACTTAGTACCAGAATTGGTGACAGGAAGCCATGTTTTATGGTCTTATCATGCCTTCCCCCTGATGCACTAGATGATCAGCATTCTACAATGATAGCAGCAGCACTTAATCTTTGCATAGGGTAACATCAATATTCCCATTGTCCACCCAGGAAAACAGTGTAGCTTTCTGGCAGTTTTCTCGATAATAGTGACAAGCATCAAGACATACATAAATTCATACCTTTTGATTCCAAAGGTATTGACAAGTCTTTTCAACTAGTGAGCAAAACGACAGTGACAAAAATCAATGTTATTTCTAATAGTTCACACTCGAGAATCAAATTCATTAGCAGTTAACCCATGAAGACTGGCAGGTTTTACCTCAGCCCTAGGGAGTTTATATTTCAACCCTTTGGCTTGTGCACAGTTTTTTCCTCTAATACATATTTCATAAGTCCTTTTCACACCTACACGTCTGAGAGAAGGAAAGTAGGCTGTACAATGGCAAGGCTTGCGAAGAACCACTTTATGAAAAGTAGTCTTATGCTTTGCTTCTAGGCCTTTGCATAGGGTGTTCCCTTTGCCTGGAATGCTGTTTTCTCCTCCACACCCACTTCCCGTTGTCTAGCTATTGCTTCTAAGTGAGGGCTCAGCACAGGCCTGTCACTTAAGAAAGCCTTAATTAGTTCAACTCTGGGTTGGGTGACCCGTGCTCTCCCAAAACATCCTGCCTTTATCCCTATAGTAGCATTCTATATTATCACTTTCTATTTATGCATCTGTATTTACAGCAGCATTCCATGAGGGCAACGCCAATCTATTCATTATTTACCTCCAATCCCTGGCAAAATGCCTAGTATTTAGTATGTTAATAAGTATTATTGAGTGAATAAGTAGTGTATGAGTGCTAATTATTCATATCTATGCTAATTTAACAAATGTTTTCTACTCATAACTATAAGACATAAAAATAAGAATTGAGTTCTAAGCCTTATTTTGATTTCTTTAACTGACTGTATGATGACTTCAAGAAAACATTTAACTTTTCTAGGGGTTCTTCATTTGTAACAATAAGAGTGTTGGAAGAAATAGTATCTAAAATGCATGATAGCTCTGACGTGTCAAATTTCACCTCAAGTGGATGGAGGTGGGGAAAATTAGCCTAATGAAAGGGGGAATTTTATAAATTGTATCTGTTCTTATCTTTCTGATAAAAATCTATCCAATTTTATAGAAAGAGGAACTCATTTACTCCAAAAACTGCTTTTGGCTTATCACTGACAAGTAATAGGTCCATTGCTTTAGCTCTGACTTCTAAAATAAATCATAAATTGATGGGTCTAGAGAGAATTAAGAACAACCAGCTCAGCAAGATAACATGATACAGAAATAACCTTTGCAGAACTTTTGATTGAAAAAGTATTTAATAAGCATGAGACTCTAGCTTGTTCCTTAATAATAGTATAATTATCTATTTTCATGACATCAGTCAAATGTTGGATATCTGCCAGATGTGGTTGAGCCTGGGGCTAGGGTGGTAACATGACTTGTGGAGAAGAGGCCATTTCAGAATTGTGAAACCAACATTTCACCATATTTGAGTCATTTTCAAATGTGCCCTCTCCTCTAGCTACCAAAATACATTCCTGCAGGCAGAGGGGAATACTACTTTTTCAAAGCCCATACAACAGTTTAGACATAAATGAGGCCAGAAAAAAGCACATCTTTCTTAATTAGCTAGCATTGAAAAGTAGATATCAGGGTGTTTAATTTAACATTCAAAATGTGCTAAGAGAAAGATTCTTCAAGGAACATTTGTAATGAACAATAGCCAGATATGGTTATGATTCAAAATCTTTTTACTTTTGCAAACATAATTCAACGCCTGTAAAAACTGTAGATTTGCTTTGTGCTTTTCTAACAAGTTTTATAGCCATTAGCTCATTCAACGATCAAAATGCTACTAAATAGCATAATTTTTAGATGACCCAATTGGCATTCCTAAGGGATAACGTATCTGCCACCACCTGGAAAGTACGCCCTTTCCCCTTAGGTTTCAGGATCGGCACCGGAAAAGCCTGTCTGTGACACAGAGGCTGCAGGAGTAAGAATGTGGCCCACACCCTTGTTAAATGAAGTGATTAATAAGCGGATCCTCTTATTTATTTACACTGCATGAGTAAAATAACATTAATTTCAAAGTGTTAATTACAAAGGGCATGATACCACTATGAGGTCTGAATCTATTTAGTTTTCCTTACAAAAGAAGAAAATAAAGAATGTCAATCCTGCTATTTCAAACCAATTCCCTGAAGCCCACCCTGGTCTGGCTCCCCACAAGCACCCACCCCCCATCGTGATTTCCATGTGGGGCACACAGAGCTCTTGGAAACTCTTAACTTGTAGGAGGAAAACAAATTCTTTCCTGCTTTTCCATGGCAACTCACCAAGAGCACACTAAGCCAGCATTAAGCAAACTTTCCATATTTTTAAAATTATATTCCTTAGCTAAGTAAAGCAAAACATTACAATTTGTGATACCCAAAATAGAAATGCCCAATGTAATGTCACAGAAAGATTTATCTAAACATATTAAATGCAATTAGCCATAAGTCCTATAGAAGTAGTAACATGTAACATCGTGAATGGAAAAGTTTTCAAAACAACCGAAACTAAAAGAAAAACCAAGACTTACTTTTTTATCCACCTTCTTCCAAAGAACTAACGAGAGACTCTCCTCTGATCCTCTTGCACTAGAAGTGAAGCCCTGGGCTTCTGCTTTATAGAGCTTGAAAGGAGGCCACACCCAGCAACCAGAATTTAGTAATCGGCAGCCTTTTGTTTGTAACATAGGGCTCAGCGTTGTCCAAAACAAAGTGAAACATGTCTTGGCAAAACTACTCACTAAACCAACTCATAGCTGACAGCACAAAGAAAAAGAGCCGGAAGAACAGATTAATTTTCCCTCTCTTTGGTTTGAACTGTTTTATTCCAGAGAGTGTAAAATGAAATAGATTTTCAAATATGCAGCACTGTCTGCTCCAATCCTAATACCAATGATTGGCTCTTTTCTTTCTTTTTTTAGTTACACTGGTTTGAAGTGGAAAATATTTAAGCTTCGAAACAAAACAAAAATTAGAAAATAAAACCTTTGGTTTGAATCCCAGCTCCATCACTTATTAGTATGTGACCTTGGGGACATATTTAATTTCCCTGAATATGTTTCTACTTTTGTTAAATGGAGATAATATCATCTAGGCTGCCTAGATGAAATGTCACAAGTCTTGTGACATTTGAGAAGTAATGTACATTTGTGAATTCTAAAAGTATACAGTGGTAAATACTTTTCTATTTATATTTCACCAGCATTTTTCCTGCCTTCAAAATAAAAAACTTTTTGTGCTTGCATATAGCTTGTTGATATATAATAAATAAGAAATATAAATGAAAAGTCTAGATTGTCCCAAATGTTCTTTAAAAACTAATTACTAGAAATATGATCCTTACGACATTCAAAATATTGGCATTAAAGGAAGGCCTATTTACAGTAATATGTATAGAAACAATTATATAAAAATTTTGATATAAGTAGATCCTTGACATAGTAGAGTAATTGAACAGAAATCAGAACTACAAACTGAAAGGATTAATGGAGTAGCAACTATTGTATTATAGAGCAGGTACCATAAGGAATTTCCCACCTAATGCAAAGAAAGGCAATTTGTTCTGGTAGCCTCAATGGTGATTCATTTTTATTCTTTGTGAAATCTTATAAAATATTATATGATGTCTCCATTAAACTATGCACAAGTATGAACTCTCCCACAGCATTATGGTTTAGTCTATGATACATTTTAGTGGTTCGTTCTTTTTTTTTCTTTTCTCATAGATAGCTCTGATATTTATATATATGTCTGATTTACAAAAACAAGTAAAAATTCTTTTGAAGATTGTCAGTTTTTGTAACACGTTCTAAATTCTCAATGTTAATTTCAATGAAATCAACATCTCCTGAAGTAGAATGATCATATAATCTAAATATTTGAGAAAATGCCAATCTATATTTTTGGCAACTATTGTAAGCATGTGTTGAACTAATTAATTAGCTACTAACTAATTAATTGATATTATTGCAAATCAGTCTTGACAGATGTATACCAGCTTTCTAATATCACATTTATTTTGTCAGTTGAGAAGGGAAAAGATAATTACACAAAACTTGTTTTTATTTTTTGTATTTGTATTCCTAACTTTGGTAATGGAAATGAAACATTTCTGCACAGTGACAATCTTTTGACATAAAGAAAAAAGTCCACGTACCTTTTATAAAATATAACTACCTAAAAGAAACATACACTCATTTTATCTTGTTTT